GTTGGTTGGTTGGTTGGTTGGTTGGTTGGTTGGTTGGTTGGTTGGTTGGTGGGTTGGTTGGTTGGTTGGTTGGTTGGTTGGTTGGTTGGTTGGTTGGTTGGTTGGTTGGTTGGTTGGTTGGTTGTTTTATTGTTTGTTTGTTTGGTTGCTTGTTTTCTGTTCTTTTGTACATAACTTTCAATTATGGTCAAATATATTTATTTTCACACACATATACATGTATATATATATATATGTATATATATATATATGTATATATGTATATATATGTATATGTGTATATATATATATATATATCATACGCCCCTCCCCTCCCCCTCACAAAGAGCTGGCAAACTATCCCAGACGCGAATGCCTTGTTATTGAAAGCTGCAGGCCCTTGACGCTCTTATAGAACCCCATAAAATCACATGATACCCCATACAATGAGCATGAAGCCCTAAAAATGTTTTCTAGGTACTCTGAGCCCTTCTGGTTGAGGTTTAGCATTTAGGCCGCCGGCACTCTGTCCTCCGTCTTCCTTCCTACAGGGCTTGTATCGGGATGTGTTCATTCTTACAACATGGCTGAGGGTTTGGGGTTTCGGGTTTCGGGGTTCATATCGGGAGTTTGCTGGGATTTTTTTTGGAGCTGGAGAATCGGGTTTTAGGATTTTTTGCCATGGGGTGGATCATAATATCCCTACTTGGGGTTCATGGGTAGTTATAAGTAGGGTTATAAGTAGGGTAGCCACAGTTACAACCTAGATTACGGGACTTATAACTGCACTTATAACTACCCATGAACCTCCAAGTAAGCTCCAGTCCCTGCAGCCCGTGAGCTCGAAAACCCCCAAAGACGCCAAGACTCTAAGCCCTGGAAACACCTAAACCCTCGCAAACGACCTTAAACCCTAAACCTTCAATATTGAAAACTTAATCCCTAAACCCGAACCCCTCAACCCGTAAGCCCTAAATCCTAAACCCCTAAAACCCCTAACCCCCTTAACCCCCAAACCCTCTTCCCACAGACTCCAATATCCCTTAATTAAGGAATATACCTTAAATTATATTTGGGATCCTACTGTAATTTAAGGTATGTTCCTTAATTAAGGGATATACCTTAAATTATACTAGTTATCCTACTGTAATTTAAGGTGTGTTCCTTAATTAAGGGATATTGGAGTCTCTGGGAACCCCAAACTCTTACCCTAAAACCTAAACCCTAAACCCTAAACCCTAAACCCTTAATTAAGGGATATTGGAGTCTCTAGGGTCCGATGGGTACTGTTATGGAGGACACTTTCCCAAATAATAATAAGGATTCCCAATATAGAAGCCCTACATTCTACTTTTTAGGTTCTAAGCTAGAACCCATGGGCCCCTAGTATGGGCCCTTAACCCTGGGACCCTAATATACCTACTATATACCCTATATATACCCTTAAGGGACCCTAGAATCCCCTAAGGGCCCATGCTAGGGGCCCATGGGTTCAACCTTAGAGTGGAGTTATAAGTCCCGTAATATAGCTTATAAGTATAGTTACCCTACTTATAACCCTACTTATAACCACTCCTAAAACCCTAAACCCTAAGAGTCTGGGTTTCTCCATCCTTTTCAGGCGCGGCCGACTCCTCGGCCATGCCGGCCGAGCACCTCGGCGGAGGGCCCCCCAAAAGGGCTCCCTTTCGGGGTTGCTATACTGGGAGGTTTAGGGTTTAGGGTTTAGGGTTTAGGGTTTAGGGTTTAGGGTTTAGGGCGGAGGGCCACCAAAAGGGCTCCCTTTCAGGGTTGCTATACTTTAGGGTTTAGGGTTTAGGGTTTAGGGTTTAGGGTTTAGGGTTTAGGGTCTAGGGCGGAGGGCCACCAAAAGGGCTCCCTTTCAGGGTTGCTATACTGGGAGGTTTAGGGTTTAGGGTTTAGGGTTTAGGGTTTAGGGTTTAGGGTTTAGGGCGGAGGGCCCCCAAAAGGGCTCCCTTTCAGGGTTGCTATACTGGGAGGTTCATGGGCAGTTATAAGTAGGGTTAAAAGTAGGCTAACTATACTTATGACCTGTATTGGGGGGGACTTATAACTCCACTTATGCATAACTACCCATGAACCTCCAAGTACTGCATTTAGATACGCAGTAGTAGAGTAGGTAAGCTCTATTTTTTGGAAGGCATGGTCCCAATGGTTAACCTTTAGTACCGCTAGCATACTGGACAAGTAAGGACAGCCAATAGGAGAAGCTTAGGGGTTTAGGGTTTAGGGCTTAGGGGTTTATCTCCTTTTTGGGCCCGGCTGTTGGAAAAGAGATTATATTGAGGGGTGCTGTAAGTTTAAGTGCATTACTTTTAGAGGTACTAAAGAGGTGTTCCTTTAACGGTACTGTCATGGGTTCCCTGCTGGGTACCAGTTTCGGGCTTAAGGTTCAGTTTAAGGTTTTTGGATGTTGGGGTGGTTGGCCATAGTTGGGTTACTGTAAAGGTGCTATACTGGGGCTCGTTTACAGGGCTGTTGTTGTTTAGTGGTATTGAATAGGCTCTGAAGGGTTTAGGGTTCAGAGTGTAGGGGTTGTCAGGGCTGAGGGCATGTAGATTTTTATAAGGGCTTGTCCGCGGGCGCTTCAGACTTTTCTGGTTTTTGTTACTACAGATTTTGTCGGGCTTGTTGTGGAGATGTTCGGGGGTGTCGCTTAACATAGGGGCCTGAGTAACTACCTATACTATTTTGGGGGTCCTTGTAATGATTATAGTATAATGGGCCCCAAAAACCTATTCTAACTCCTAGGGCCTCTATGCTAACGCCCCTATATTACGGGTTTTGGAAGGGGGTTGTCTACGGTGTGTGGTAAGTTGTTTTCTATAACAGGATTGTTTGTGCCGGTTTCTGAGGCTTCTTGTAAGTTTTTTTCGTGAGTTGCGTAAATGGCTTAATAATAGGAGTGTTTGCAGGGATTTTGCATGTTCCTTAGAAGTTTTCCAAGGTGTCTGAATGGTTGTCTAGGGTGTCTTGAAAGAGTTTTCTAGGATGTCTGAGATACACTAAACTGTCAACCTAAACCGCCTAATCCCCAAATCCTAAGCCCGACAATTAACCTAAGCTACCCTACACCCTAGCCCCCAAACCCCAGCCCTGAACCCTAAACCCTGAATCCAAAGCAACTTAGTGGCTTGCACAGTTGGTAAGCGCTGTGTCTGACTCAGACACTTCCGAAAGTCCGAAAGTCATAAGCTACTTGGAGGGTCGGGGGACTTAGTAAATGGTTATTTTATCGACTTATAAGTACTATAACCCCAATTCGGGTCCCTACTTACTAAGTCTCCCGACCCTCCAAGTACCCTAAACCCTACACCCTAAACCCTAAACCCTAAACCCTAAGTGTGACCGACTGACTCGAGGAACCGGGGCCTGCCTCCTGGGCAACCTGCCTCGTCACGAGGATGCAGTGATGGAAGATTTGGGGGTTTGGGAGGGTTTAGGGTTCAGGGTTCAGGGTTTAGGGTTTAGGGTTTAGGGTTTAGGGTTTAGGGTTTAGGGTTTAGGGTTTAGGGTCTAAGGTTTGGGGGTTTGGGGTTTAGGGTCTAAGGTTTGGGGGTTTGGGGTTTAGGGTGTAGGGCTCAGATTTGGGGGTTTGGAGGGTTTAGGGTTCAGGGTCTCAGGTTTGGGGGTTTGGGGTTTAGGGTTTCGGGCTGAGGTTTGGGGGTTTGGGGTTTAGGGTGTAGGCTAAGGTTTGGGGGTTTAGGGTTTAGGCTTCAGGGCTAGGGTTTGGGGTTTAGGGTTTAGGGCTGTTAGGTTTGGTAGGGCGTAAGGCTAAGGTTTGGGGGTTTGAGGAGCTGTAGGATTTGGTGGGCGGGGGGGGGGGGTTCGGGTGTATAGATCCCTTAGAAACAGGGTTTTTCATACCACAACATACCCCCAATACCCCGCTCCAAGTCTTACGAAGGGATGACCTGAGCTCACAATTCCCTTGGTCTACTTGGAAACTCATGGGGAGTTATGAGTGGAGTTATAAGTCCCCTAATATAAGAGGTAACCATAGTTACCCTACTTATAACCACCCCTAAACCTGCAAGTATAAGATATAACCATAGTTACCCTACTTATAACCACCCCTAAACCTGCAAGTATAAGATAGAACCATATATAGTTACCATACTTATAACCACCCCTAAGCCTGCAAGTAGACTGTAGGATTTGGGGTTTAGGGTGGGAGATCTGCAGTTCAAGTTTTGGGGACCTCGTTGACCCTACTTTAGGGTTAAGGGTTTAGGGTTTAGAGTTTAGGGCTTAGAGTTTAGGGTTTAGGGATTAGGGCCTACAGTAAACACCCAAATGCCGAATTCCACCCTGCACGCTGTTGGGCTCTTCATCAGGATTTCCGTTTCAAACTACCATTAAGGCTATGAAGGAAATCAGAAGAAGAAGAAGCAAAGCTGTCAAGCCCCAATGAAATTCATCCAGGACCTTAATAGCAGAGAAGTAACTGATAACTTCTTTTGTGGGATTACAATCACTAGATTATAGAATCGAAGGTTAACCTCAAACCCTAAACCCTAAACCCACGGTTTAAGGTTTAGGGTTTAGGGTTTAAGGTTTAGGGTTTAGGGTTTAGGGTTTAGGGTTTAGGGTTTAGGGTTTAGAGTTTAGGGTTTGGGGTTTAGGGCCCTTTAGGATGCCTAGCAAAGAAAGAAGTCCTTCCTTGAATCGAGGCTGAAGCTCGTGCGCGGGGATATCGAGGCGAGCGGGCATGAACTACAGGGGTCTAGGTTAGGTAATTACCAGTACTATTCTAGGGTTGTTATTGAGGGTTTAGGGTTTAGGTTTAGGGTTTAGGGTTTAGGGCCTAGGGCTTAGGGTTAAGTTTTGGTATAACAGCCCCTGCATTAACCCTATCTGCCAAAGCCTTGCAAGACCTTGGGTTTAGCGTTTAGAGTTTAGGTAAAGTCGCAACTACCTGGGAAATCGACAAAGGTATTGATCCTCCCAGTAATCCCGTGGCTGCGGGTGTTACATATGAGTATAGGGGTTGGTTGTGTGTTTGACTAGCTGGGTAGCCGTTCTGGGTTTAATCTACAGGTTTCGAGTGGGTTTTGGTGTAGGGTTTGGTGTGGGTTTGGGTGGATTTTGGGTGGGTGTGTTGGGCTTTGCGTCGGTTTTGCGTGGTTTTGCATGGGTTTGGATGGGGTTGGCTATCAGCCCGTGGTGTAGAGGGGTGAGCACGCGATGGCCTTTAAGGGCACCTCACAATGGCGCCCTGCCGGTGGGGCGAGACAGGACTATTATGGAATCATAATAGGGATGGTCTTTTGGGACTGATAATTCCATGATAGTAGTCTGCAATGCACCAAGGCCGCCACCGTTTCGGGCGGATTTCTCAACAGACGCAGCTCGCGGCACAGGAAAGCCAGCTGGAGGAGTAAAAGCAGCACTTGAGGGAGCGCACGAACGAGGTGCCACCAGAGCCACCAAAAGCTCCAGCACCGGCGCAGCCGTCGCCAGCACAGGAGAGCACAGATGATGGTCAAGATCCTGAATTGCTGCATCATCCACACGACGAAAGTATTAAGTACTGCCACTTCCATAGTCGATAGTACATCAGGCAATGCAGGATTTTGTCCACCAACACTCGCTCAGTAAACTCCCATCAGGCCATTGAGTATGGTGGAGCTCGGTTTTAGGGTTCAGGGTTTAGGGTTGTTACAAAGGTAGTACGGTAGTACGCATCGGGGCTTGGTTTGTCGGCATACCTTTGCAAGCACCTGCAGGGAACCTAAACCCTAAACCCTTCGCGGAACAAAGTCCTGCATGATCCTCATCCATAGCCCTTAGCTCAGGAGTATCCCTTACCTGAAAAAGAATCAGGTATGTTCCTCAATGTAGGGGTGCTGCCTGAGGAGCCAAAATTCTTCCCTTGTTGGAGCAACCTGAAGGTAAAGCCCCGTTTATTGTCGCCAGCATCACTATTAGTAGTTCCCGTTCTCGTTCACGATCGAAAATGGACGTTAGTTGGTAGTGCTGCAAATACCGTTCAGAGTTTAGGGCTTGAACTTCAAGGGTTTAGAGCTTGTAGGGTGTAGGGTTTAGGGCACGTTTGTCTCGAAGGCCTTTGTCGTGACGCAGCGCCACAACCGCGATCACGAGGTAGACATCAAACAGTTGATCGACAATGTCTACAAGCCACCGGACCGGGTGTTTCCTTTCGAAAGCTCGGCAATTAGCCACTGCAGTTTAGGGTTTAAGGTTTAGTGTGTAGGATTTACGAAAGGTTCTTGCAAATTGACGAAACACCAGTCTATCGGTAGAGTACCAAATATCCCCGAAGACTGTTCTCAGTACTCCTCAATTGCCATATCCGACAAATGCCCGTTCCTAGTTCCCCAATACCCAACCCTTTTGACTTTTTGGGTTCTTATAATTTACTAGTGATCTGAAAGTTTAACCTTTTATTTCCCTGGCTTATTGGTGAAGTAAGATTAGGAGGCTTGGAACTCGCAGTTTGATTTTGCTGTATCAAGTGCGGCATAATATAGGGATCGCAACATTTGGGGGTTTCCGAAAATAGGGACCCTAATATAGCAGCCTAAATAGTAGGATCCTTATTATAAGGACCCCAAAATAAGGTACCCCTTATGTTCGGAAACTCCCATTTAGTAATAATGTCACGTTAGGGGGAGCGAAGTAGGCTCTGAGTGCGGTTGGAAGAAGGGCTCTTGCGGTTGTGGGCGAGTCCAGTGTTCAGGGTTTTTGGGGTTAGGTGTTTGGGAGTGTAGTCCCTGTATCCAGAAGCCTACTAGTACGGTCGTTACTAGCACGGTCCACAGCAGGGTCCCTTGTTACCTATCTTAGTACCTTGGTTTTCCACTTTTGATTTGTTGTTCCTCTTTGGATCTTAATCTCGCTTTCAGGGCCACTTCGGATCTAATAGAGGGCTTCAATATTTAGAAGTGCTATTCTTCAGGGCTCCTTAGTGAGGTTATAGCATAGCATGCCCTCAAACCTTATTACACACGTTAATGTCCGTGTCACAAAGCCTGCAAAGCCCTGTAACAATTCAAAAATCAAGGACACCACAAAGCCCTGGTCAAATCTGGTTCTACTAATGAAGGCCCCTGTTAGATACTTGCCCCTCCGAAGTTACACATGTTAAGGTCCGTGTCACAAAGCCTGCAAAGACCTATTACAACCGATTCTAACGTAACGATCAAGGCCCCTATTAAAACTTGCTGGCACATCCGAAGTCTGCAGGACGAGAAGAAGGTCATCCACTATGTCGCCTGGTCCAAGAAATCAGCGAAAAGCAGGGGATGGAAAGGGTTTTGGGGCTTAGGGGTTTAGGGTTTGGGGCTTAGGCTTAGGGCAGTTAGGGGGTTAATCTAGTCGTAGAGTAGATAACCTTTAACTTTCTTGGGCTACTAGAATAATCCCTGTATAAGCCCGCCTGTTAACTTTTAGTTCCCCGAGGATACTGGACAAGTAAACCTAAGCATTACAAGTAGGATAGCTATAGTTCGAACCTATATTAGGACCCTAAACCCTAAACCCTAAACCCTAAACCCTAAATCCTAAAGACCCTAAACCCTAAANNACCCCAAAACCCATATTAGGGGACCCAGAACCCACTTATGACTACTCATGAACCCAGGTCGAGGGCTCCACGCCAAGGGTTTTAGGGTGCAGAGATCCAGTCCTTCAGTTTAGGGTTTCAGGGTTTCGGTACTTGCCAGCGCTAACTCGTCGCGTACGCCACGACAGGTCCAAGTGGCCATGGTTCCTAATATAGGGGTCTAAAGAACTGCAAGTACTATGCTGAGAACTGCAAGTACTATGCTGAGAGCTCCTTATCAGAATTATGTTATAATCTACCCAAACACCCTGTTCTACTTGTTAATGCCCTACACTAATGCCCACAGCATTTTTTTTTTTTTTTTTTTTGGGGGGGGGGCTCCTTATCATAATTGTATCATAATATACCCCAAAAGCCCCTATTCTAAGAAACGCGGGATCCCGGAAGTTCTTGTGGAGGACATCTTCTGGTGCTGGATGTGATGGGCCGTTAAGACTCTTGTTTGCTAAAGGGTCCATGTCCTGATGTTATTGCTGAGGGCTCCTTGAATCTGGTAGACGTGAGTTACATAAGATGGATTGATAGATAGGTCGATAGAAAGATAGGTTCATAGTTAGATTGTTAGACAGATTGTAGATCGGTAGATAGATGGATAGATAGATAGATGGATAGATAGATAGACCGATAGATAGATAGATAGATAGATAGATAGATAGATAGGTAGGTAGGTAGGTAGGTAGGTAGATAGATAGATAGATAGATAGATAGAAAGAGAGATACAGAGATAGAGAGATGGAGAGATAGAGAGATAGATGGATAGAGAGATGGAGAGAAAGAGAAAAAAGGGATAGATGGATATAGAGATAGATAGATAGGCGTCAGTTCACGCTGCAACAAAGTAGCGGAGCCACGTCACGGGCTTCGACACTGCTGCTTGCTGTGAAGCAGCTCTTAGGGTGTAGCTTTTAGGGTTTTGGAGACTGCGCTTCTTTCCTCCCTGCCCTGCGAGCTCACCTGCAACGATGTCCGCGGTAGAGAGAGAAGAGGGCAGAAGGAAATAAAAGAAAGGAGCCTAAATACTTACCTATACTACTTTGAGGGCTCCTTACTATAGTTATGGTATAATAATAATATACCCCAGAAAGCCCTATTCTAATTATTAAGGGCCCTATATTACCGCAGTCTTCCGGCAATCGCGACGGATGGTTTAGGCTTTATCGTTTAGGGGTTTAATGCGATTGCTTGAGTTGGTGCGAAACTACCGAGTTCTGCGCCGATGGCCCTGCAGACACTTGCGAAGCAAAAGGCCGGCTGTACTTAGCAATCAACTGGAGCTCGCGAGGAGGGCGACAAGACGGGTTTAGGGTTTAGGGTTTAGGGTTTAGGGTTTAGGGTTGAGGAGTTATCATGGTCAAAACGCAGACAGAAGCTTCATCTTTGGTTCCGCTCAAGCCCCGCGTGACGAAGCCTCACGTGCTGACCCGTCGACTCCGATTGCTCGCGGACTACAAGGATTAAAATAAGATTAATATTATATGAACCCCCAAGATAGTATGGCATATATCTGGGACCCTACATTAGGGCTTAGGGGACTGAGTTTAAGTAGGCTTATGAGTACCTTAATCTTGCTCCTGAGCCGACTGACTAAGTCCCCTGGGCCCCTAAATCCCTAAGCCCGTGACTCTAAACCCCAAATGCCTTAAAGTTAAAGCCCCGATAGAACCCTTAACGAGAACCCAGCCCTCAAAGCTAACCCCTGTACAGAACCCTAAACCCTAAACCTTGTAGAACCCCAAAGAACTGTCTAGAACCCTTTTGAACCCTAAACCCTAAACCCTATAGAACCCTATAGAACCCAACCCCTGTAGAACCCTATAGAATTAAAAGCGAACCCTATAGAACCCTATAGAACCCATAGAACCCTAGAGACCCCTATGGAACCCTAGCCTACAGCACCTAACCCTAGAGAACCCTACAGAACCCTATAGCACCTAACCCTAGAGACCCCTATAGAACCCTATACAACCCAACCCCTAGAGACCCTATAAAACCCTTAAAAGCGAACCCCTAGAGACCCCTAGAGACCCCTATAGAACCCCATATAGACCCCTATAGAACCCCGTAAACGCGAACCTCCTGTAGAACCCTAGAGACCCCTAGAGAGCCCCTTACCCTAAAGACCCCTATAAGACCCTTGAGACCCCTATAAAACCCCTATGGAACCCCTTACCCTTTACCCTAAACCCTAAACCTTAAACCCTAAACCCTAATTCCTAAACCCTAAACCCTAATTCCTAAACCCTAAACCCTAAACCCTAAACCCTAAACCCTACAGAAGCCGATGAGGTCAACGATGGCCTGAACCGCGCACTCCGCGGCAACCCACCGCCACGAGAGCGCCCAGCAGACCACGAGGCTGACCTACGGGCCCTTTTTAGGGTTTAGGGTTTTAGGGATTTAAGGATTTAGGGTTTGGGGTTTGGGGAATTAGGGTTTAGGGTTTAGGGATTTAGGGGTTTAGGGCTTTTACGGTTTAGGGCTTTTAGGGTTTGGGGAATTAGGGTTTAGGGTTTAGGGAATTAGGGTTTAGGGTTTTGGGTTTAGGGTTTTGGGTTTAGGGCTTTTAGGGTTCAGGGTTTAGGGTTTCGTTGTTTGTCATGATGTGTATTCTTTGGTCGCTTGCATTGTCTATTCGTGGCTGTGTTTGCTTGTTGTAGTTTGGTTTATGCAGTTGCGGTTTCTTGTGATGTGTTCTGCTCATTCTGAGTCAAGCAGGCAGCTTCGTTGTGGGGCAAGCCAGGTGCATTCGGTACTCACGCGCCCCAAAACTCCATGGCTTGAAAAGAAGTTCATGTCGGTTTAGGGTTTAGGGTTGGCCGTCGCCTCGTGTAAACGAGGGTCGGAATAATTTGTTGTGCGAATCCCTTGACACCCTGGTAGATTCACACTGCACTGTCCCCCGAAATCCCTTTTCTAGTCATTTGCCCTAAACCCAGTCATAAACTTTCGGTTTAGGGTTTAGGGTTTAGGGTTTAGGGTTTAGGGTTTAGGGTTTAGGGTTTAGGCCATAAACCCATTAACCCAAGCCTCTTCATGCATGCTGGGGCAGTTGAATTCTAGCCTGTGCAGGTGCCCAGATATGAGAACTATTGGCAAGCGAGGCGGCTTGGATATGCGCTCAGGGTTTAGGGTTTATTGAGATTTAGGGTTTAAGGTTCAGGGTGTATGGTTTAGGGTTTAGGGTTCGTAGCATGCGCCCGAGACGCATCGCCCGCAGTTCACAGTGATAACTTGTTGGGCAGTTGGTCTTCGTTTTATGCCCTAAACCACAAGACCCTAAACAATTCCTGAACAAGAGCGCAGTTGCACGAGGTGTTTGGAAGTAAGGAAGAACGGGTAGGTAGTACACCAGAAGTTGGTGTGAGAGGCGCAACCCGGCCCCACATTTGTCCCCATCGAGGGCGGACAATAGAGTAGGCAGTTCTGTTCGGTTGAATCTGCACAATGTGTCCTGTGGCCCAGACTCATGCCTAAGGTTAGAAGTATGGGCCCCTAGTATGGACCCTTAGGCCTTTCTAGGGACCCTTAAGGGTACATATAGGGTATATAGTAGGTATATAAGGGTCCGAGGTTTAAGGGCCCATACTAGGGGCCATGGGCTCAACCTTGGATCATGTTGCCTTGCCGAGAAGATGTTCCCTAGTCCCTTGATGTTTCCTGGGCTTTGGGGGTTTAGGGTTTAGGGTTTAGGGTTTAGGGTTTAGGGTTTAGGGTTTAGGGTTTAGGGTTTAGGGTGTTCCCTAGTCCCTTGATGTTTCCTGGGCTTTGTTTCGAAGGTTGGAGATTGGCACGCGGAGGGGACACAATCTCGACCAGTTGTGAGGAAGCCGTTAATAATTGATGTAGGGGCCTCAATAACTACCTACTCGATTTTGGGGGTCCCTTATTATATTTTTTACTATGCAGGACCCAAAACCTAATTATAGAGGCCCCTACATTGTCTCCCTCCGCGAAGCTGCGGCGCCATGGAGGATTTCTTGGCAGTGCGGAATATCTCGCTGTCGCTGACTACTACGCCCTTTCATTGAGCATTTATCTGAAACTGTAGATGCTTAGATATGGTTTATGGTCTAGGGTGGAAGGTCTAGGCCGTACCGCTTTGGTTGAGTGAAGCTACGGGATTATCGACACCTTACTTCAGGAAGAGGCTTCCGACTGCGATGTTAGCCTATCCTTCAGCTAGGGTTTTCGGGCTTTTTGGGAGCCACCGTGCATCCATTGCCCAGGAGCTGTAAGAACGCACCCCTCAGAAAGCTCGGGCTGAGCCCTTGCAGAGCGAGAGGCCCCGACCTCTGCTAAGGAATGCCAGAGTCTCCGACCAGGATCAAGGCGTAGGTTTAGCGTCATAGGCCCCTGAGTGTGCCGCATCTCATGATGCAGCTGGTAGGGTTTAGGGCTTAGGGTTTAGGGTTTGGGGCCCTATCCTAAACCCTAAACCCTAAACCCTAACCCCCAAATCCTAAACTGGGGTTTACAGCGTTTATGGAGCCTTGACCCCAGCCCTAACCTCGAAGCCCTGAGCCCCTAAGCAGTGGCATACTCTGTGCCCCGAAGTCCTACGCAGTTAAAGGTATAAAGACACTTGAAGCCTAACGCCCTAATCCCTAATCCGCAAGCCCTAAACCCATAGACCCCAAACCCCTAGACCCTAAACACCTAAACCCCCAAACCCCTAAGCCCTCAACCCTAAACCTAAAGGAACCCTGACTCCCTATAGATCATTCAAATTAGATTCCTGGAAGGTATCTCATGGAGGCTCTTGCGGATGCGATCGCGCTCGTGGAGAACTCCAACGGTGGCAAACTGCTGCTCGGCAGCATGCAGGATTGAGGGTTTGCGTGCTTAAGGCCTTTTCTTTCGGGTTTAGGGTTTGGGGTTTACGGTTTAGGGTTTTAGGGCTTAGGGGCTGGGGTTTAGGACTTTAGGGTTTGAAGTAGGAGAACTATCCCCTTGCAGCCTACTTCTCGCGAAAGCCCTTTCAAAACGATAATCGCAATGCTTAGTCTTAGGGCCTTGGCATCAGAACTAGCGGCTGGCAGCGACTGGCATGCTTTCTGCTGCCCGAGTCATATCCCTAAGCTCAGTGAAGGTTCCTTTGAAATTCCAAGCAGTGTCCTGTACAGGTTCGATAGAGGGTTGAAACCGTAAACCTAAGCCCTCAACCCTAAACCGTAGAAGCTAGGTTTCGACGTGGTAAGTACGCCTTTTTGCTTTTGTGCATTGGGGTTCCCCGTGTAGAACTGGGAAATAGGAAAAGGGAAACCCTAGCAGCTTGCAGGATTATTTGGGAACCAGGCTACAGTTTGGTACAGTTGATAGTATAAATCCTGCATTACCTCAAGAGCCCTAAACTATGGAAACTATGGTATATTCCTTATTATGGGTAATGCAGGATGTATATCATCAACCGTATTACTTTGGAAGTCAATCTGGACCGTACTCTACGTACTCGAACGGCAAATGTGTAGAGTCCCCAGTATCCACAACATGTGAGATAGGAACCACCTAATATAGGGGCCTTCATCATTACCTATACTTTTTTGGGCGCTCCTGATTATAAATATAGTATAATATACCCCAAAACACGATTCAAAATTATCAGGCTCCTACACGATAGAGCCTAAACCCTGAACTTGGGGAAATAGTACCAAGTAATCCACCTTCACGAATCCCTTAACCGAAAACCTTGCATGCCGAGGAAGCCGTCGAAAATGTTCAAGCGCATGGCAGCCCGACTTCAAGAGAGGGTTTCAGATTGCCATGAAGGTTAAACCCTAAACCCGAAACCTTAAACTTAAACCCGAATCAATGACATGTTGGAAAAATCAGAGCTCCTTTCTTGCAGGTCCTTGTACCAAAGGGCCGGAATCTCATGGTTTGTATTGTAGATAGTTAGTCTACTCAGTGTTTGATATTGCAGCACAATCTTCCGATTTGAAAGGGTCTTCCTACACTGGCATGGCTGTTTTTCGTATTCATGGCCCCGCCGGAAGCAATCTGCACACCCTAAACCCGAAACCCTCCACCTTAAACCCCGAACCCGCGCGTGCTTGAGGCGAAGAAAGCATACAAGCCAGAATTGGCAGGAGTGTGGTGGATGCGATGACCTCGCCGCTCTTTCCTTGGCTATTCCACGCCAAGTGGCTCACAGGGAGCCATATCCAGCTCAGAGCGCTGCACTTACGGGAACGCAGACACCAAAGGACTTGACAATTAAGCTTCGTCTCGCATTCTTGGCACAATGAAAAAGCTCTTCCGCAGGTTGTATGAAAGTAATCGGACATTGGGCATTGAGGTTCAACTCGACGAGTGCTGAGACTCCTGGGACTATTGTCCACGGGCCCTGCCTTTTCCAAGGCAGATGCCGTCTCCATGAGGGCGGGGTCCCATGTCGGGGCCGCTTTTTTACTCAGTTAGCCGATGACATGTGGAACCCAAATATGCCGCAAACCCCTGAACCCCAAACTCCCGCCCTAAACTCCCCAAACCACGCACGAATCCATAAGCACCAGCCACCAAAGCTTGAACACCCGAACAACAGCTCAGGATTTCGACAACGACGGCTGCCTTTTGGTATTGTAGCGTGTTTACACATATCTACACAACTCTACAGCCCTACACCCTGGAAACTCTGGCGCCCTAAGCCCCGAACCCTAAACCCTGAACCCTAAACCCTAAAACCAAAGTACGTTGTCCTAGCCCGGAAGCTGCGACAGGAAAACGGAGCGGCGCCAAAGTGTGCACACTAGCATGCACGGCCCCATCAAAAAACAACTCTAAAACCCTAGACCCTAAAACCGTAAACCCTAAAGCCCCAAAGCCCTTATAAACCCTAAACCCTACACTACACCAGAAAAACCTTAAGCCCTAAAGCCCTATGCCCTAAAACCCTAAACCCTAAACCCCAAAACCCTAAATCCTAGAAGCAGCTCAGGACTTCGACAACGACGGCTACCTGAGCATCTCGGACCTCCGGAGCGCCTGCGAGAAATTCAAGATCCCGAATTCAAGCGCCTCGGGCTGAAGTTTAGGGTTTAGGGTTTAGGGGTTTAGGGTTTAGGGTTTAGGGTTTAGGGTTTAGGGTTTAGGGGTTTAGGGGTTTAGGGTTTAGGGTTTAGGGTTCATCCCTCTGGGGTTTTTTCGCCCTTTAGGGAAAGGAGGTGTTCCTGTATAGGGTTCTACAAGGATCCCTTTGAGGTTTTAGGTTTGAAGGGTTTGGGAGGGTTTTAGGGTTTAGGGCCCCTTTAGGGTTTTAGGGGCTGAAGGAGACCCCTTTGGCAAAGGCTGTTTGGGTTTAGGGATTAGGGCTTGCAGGGGTTTAGGGTTTAGTTGGAGTGAAAGGAGGGTTTAGGGTTTGGGGCCCTTTTAGGGTTTAGGGTTTAGGGTTTAGGGTTTAGGGTTTTTAGGAGGTGAAAGGAGATGTCTTTAGGGGTTCCTTGCAGGGGGTTCTACAAACATCCCTTTAGGGCCGAAGTAGGCTTGAAGCGTTTAGTCTTCAGGGTTCCAGGGTTCCGCTTTTTGGTTTGGGGTTTAGGGTCTAGGGTCTAGGGCTCAGGGATCCCTTTTCAAGAGGGGGGGGGGGGTTCTTGCCATAAGGGTTCCATGTTGCTACATATACGGATTCCCTCATGGGTTCTGTAAGTGCTCTACCTCTACAAAAGGTTCTGGAATAGATCTATGCGGGACTCATGGGCGCTCCACGAAGACTCAGACTGTTTCTGTGTCAGCTGGCCTTTTCGTTGATGGTCCCTGCTCTTGCTGAGAAAGGGTATTGTAATGTAAGGGCCCTAATACTTACCCACACTATTTTGGGGGCTCCTTGGTATGATTGAAGGTGCTTGGGGGATCTAATATGGGAGCTTACAACATAACAACTACCAGTTTGGGCTCCTTTCATGAACTATGTGACAATATCCCCAAGAACCCGATTCTGATTACGAAGGTCTCTACAGTAGCAGGCTTGGGGCAGCTTGATGGTAGTGGGCCTGAAACATAGTTGGGTTGTATAGGGTTCTATTGGGGTCTCTAGGGTTCTATAGGGTTCTATAGGGTTCTATAGGGGTCTCTAGGGTTAGGTTCTATAGGGTTCTGTAGGGTTCTAGAGGCCCGTGAGACAACACTCTATGCCTCACGCATAATACCCGATCTTGCATGTGTCGTGGGCGCATGCATGCAGAAGCTAACTTGTGGATGTATCCACCCCATTGCTTGCATATGCGTTGCCATACATGTCCAAACGATGTCAAAATGCGCACGCGTTATTGCTTCGGACGTGTTCCTAAATTCCCTAAACCTTAAACCCAAAACTGCCCCAAGCCCTAAACGGTTCCAGCTCCTCCGGCATGTGCTGAACCACAGCACCTGCATTTGCTGCTCAAGCTCAAGCAGGGTTTCGGCATAATTATAGGCTTTTGGATTTCGTGATTAGGATTTAAGGTTCAACGACGCGAACTGCAAAACCGAGCCCCGGATCCCAAAACCATGAAGCCCCGAACCAGGTGCTGACTTGCATGCACTGTTCAGTCTCCTGGACAAGAGTGATAACGGTGCTGTGGACATCGGCGAGTTCACCAGAAACTATCAGGCCACTTGGCCGGGGCTGTTGTCTGCGAAGTGTTTTGCCGTACGGTTTTGTGGGTGTGTGTTGAAAACTTGTTGTGGGTTGTATCAGGGTTTTCTTACTTTGGGTGAAAGGCTTGGGCGGGTTTTGGGTCAGTGGTTTGCTACAAGGCTCGAGGGTTTTTGGTAATTGTCTAGGGTTTAACGCGACATTGCCTGGTAGGTGGCTACAGGACATTGTAACAGACCTCGAAATACAAGGGACTGCAAAATACAAGCAGTCCCGCCCAGCTGTTCTACCTGCTGTGTGGCTCGAACGGGCGTCGGACGTCGGCCTACCTGAAGGATCGAACGAGCCTTAAAAGTAGGGGCCCTATACTTTAGCTCTTAATGGGCGAGTCTACGACACTTGCAACGTGTCGAAAATAGACCCCTGATCAATGACCCCTTCTCTTCCAGGGCTTCGATATTCGCGCCCAGATAATATAGGGGCCTTACTAATGACCTATACTATTTTGACAAGTCCTTATTATAACTATAGTACAACATACCCCAAAACCATATTCTAATCATTAGGGCCCCCATACTATTTCAATCATGATCTCCGCTATGTCCTATGCTCAATATCCAAATCAATGGCATGGATGCTCCAAAGTCCATCCTACGCGCTGAAGCCTCAGTCCCAAACTCCAAGCGCATTCAAATATAGAGGCGCCAAGACGAAGAATGAGGCTTTGGGCTTACAACTGATGGTAGATTTACATTGGGACTACAGGGGGAGTATTTATTGCGAAGACTAGTCACTAGACCTTAAACCTAAACCCTAAACCTTAAACCCACAATTTCAGCCCTAGGCCGTGAATCCTAAACCCAACACCCCAAAACATATGGGGCCCGTGGAAAAGCCTCAATATCGGTACAGCCCTCAAAGCATTTCAAGAAGGGATCCCACTTCAACAGCTCTTGTTTGTTGAAGGGGTGTTTGTGTGCTTGGGCACTGCCTTATACCCGGAACCTTTTAAACCCTGCAAGATACCATAAGAACCTGTAGAAGAGACCTATAGAAGAGCACTCCCAATCTCTGTGTCTCATGACGGTGAAGTGAGTAGGGGTTTAGGATCTTCCGGGCTGGGCATTAATCTTTATGCTCAGGGTTTCTATTTTTATGATGTCCCCATCCATGTCTCCATCGACCCCCATGCCTCCATCCCCTCGCCGACACGGTTCTTTTCCTATGCTCATGGGTTTTCCTCTTATGCCCGAGGTTTCTCCATCTATGCCATCGGTTGCGGCTTTTATGCCAAGCTGGCTTTTGTTAATGCTGACTCGTCTCCTGCTTATGCTCCATGGGCCAGGTGGGACGAGAGGGGGGACGGCTGGGCCCACTGCGAGGGGGTGATGACCCCACTTAGCCAGGCCTGACTTGTTTTTGAGCTGGCCGCAGCATAAGAAAAAAACATGCCCTTTAAAAATACATTCCCAAAGGCAAATCCGTGCGTGAAAGTCTGTTTAGCACATTTTCGGCATCGGAAATTCCGTTTAAGGTTGCAGGAAGGGTTTGTAACCGGCCATCTGCTGCCTTCGATGCTCGCAGGTCCCATATCGTTTTGGCAGATGTGGACATCAACTTCGTGCTTGAGGGGCGTATGTGGTTTGTGTGTTTTTCCCGACAGTCCAAAATCGAGATTCGCGTGTCCTATAGCGTTTTGGCAGATTTGGACATTAACTTCGTGATTGAGGCGCGCATGCGGTTTTTGTGCGTTTCCCGGTTTCTGCTTCCAGACCGAAAACCTAGGTTTTCATAGCTACGGCAAAAGTGGTTGAGTTTTTGAAAGTACATTTATGGCGGTTTTTCACCACCGAATTACGCCTTTAAGCGTGCAGGGGTAGGACCCCCAGGCGGCCGTGTAGTTACCTTAGAACGGCACGTAGCTGGAAGGACACACCACGCAACGCCTCGGGAAAGAAAAGTCCAAAATCGAGTTTCGCATGTCCTATAGGTCCTATAGCGTTTTGGCCGATGTGGACATCAACTTCGTGCTTGAGGGGCGCATGTGGTTGTTGTGGGTTTCCAAGTTTCTGCTTCCGAAAACCTAGGTTTTGCATAGCTGCGCCTTTTAAAGTGGTTAAATTTTGAAAGTACGTTTATGGTGGTTTTTCGCTACAG